TGGTGTAGACATTTGTCACGTTATATTTGCGAAATCTATTAAAAGAGCTTCCGTTTCGATTTCCTCCGAGCTACATCCGGTCTAACCGCCGCAATCCGCTATCATCGACGAGGAAAGGCGAGCCGATTCTCCCTGACCGTAGATAAAGTTCTCGGAGCGTCATAATAAAGTTCTGCCTCTCCAAATGGCACGTATATCCGTAATAAATTGTTCTTGCAAAGTTTCTGGAAGGCGAGCTACATAAATAGTCGCGCGGACGCGTTTCCACCCCGCGAGCGCGCGCGGCCTCCGTTCTTGCGTCGTCTCTCGCCGACGTCCACATCCACTTCCCCTCTTCCCGCCCCTCTTCCCATTATAGACTTCGCTATACTACTCTTAAAGATGCCTTTCATTGCACCCCCGCACGTCGTGCAGAATCCGATCGATGCAACTGTCTCGCTCGCGCAACCGTCGAAAAGTCATCCCCTTTTCGCGTCCTTCTTCACAAACGGGACCTTCCGGCGGACTGTAGTCGTCCGCCCTACCTCGCGTCCTCCCACAACTTCACCCTCCCCGCTACGAAAATCTTTTTATCCCGCTCCCTCTTAGCTTCTTATTTTCGTTCTGCGATAACGCCAGCACCTTCGGATTCTACACGAGCGACGTCGTTTCGAACTTTGTCTCACTTTCTTTCCGCCGCGAAGAAACTCACGAAACTGTAACCCTCCCTTTGCGAAAACTCGTCGTACCGTCCGCCTCCCTCCTGTCGCCCCCGTGTAGCCGACTCTCTTTTGACAATTCTCATTTCTCATCCGTTTCGTTCCGCCTCGTTCGGTCAGTCGAATCTCTTTTGAGCAACTTTAGTTACTCGCTGCTGTTAGTCCGCGTCGCGAATTAATTGACGCTTTGATCCGCCCGAACTCGAGATAATTCGTTCACGTTGGTATCAATACACTCGCTGTCAATTAAATTTAGATCGATACAAAGCACGAATTTAAGTACAATGAACATTTCGATGGAAAGAAATTGAACACGACAAATTGAAATCGAGATCTCGCTTGCTATAGAACGCGTTATATTTACCCATGAAACTATCGATGAATTAATACGCAACGATCCTGTCAATCGTTTTCAAAGTATTTCAAGTCATTAAAGATTTTGTGGGGCATTATTGACGGGATAAAAAATTAATTGTAGTATCGTAATATACATACACACACACGCACATACACTTGTAATCATATCATATTATATATAATACTGTACATGTATTGTCCAGTGTCAGTGTGTGAGTATTTGTGTGTAAAAAAAAATATCACCTTTCTGAGCTGTGAGATGGTTAAAAACCGCAATCGATGATAATAAATCTGACGAAACACCTGGTACGCGGGAAGACAGATACATTTTCGTGCGCTAAGTTCATGGGAGCTGCTTATTCATTTCTGGCTCGAGAGACTTTGTGCGCCTCCTTCGGTTTACCGAGAAAAGTTTCGCATGCAAGCTAAACTTTGCGCCGACAATTACTCGAGCATCTGAACCGGACGGATAGTTATAACGCTTCTACCCACTCCCCCCTTCCGTCGCCCTTTTTTTACGTTCCGTACCATTCGTGCGAATTTACAAAAAGAAAATTAAGATCGTGCTATGAGCCCAATGCAAAATTACATCAATGTTCGTGCTAAAAATTACCCGTGATATTGCGCGATTAACTTCAATTAAATTTTTCTACACACAACGTACCGTAAAATTTTATATTAATTTTATATCTCTCGATAGTATCAGCTGTAATACATCATCTTGATGTGAAATATAATCTTGTTAGTTACTATCAGTTATTATTAGAGAGTATTGTCTATCATCCTATTAATATCATAAAATTTTGCACAATAGTAACGTGTTTTGTAATAGAAGAAATATCTATTATTTGTATGCGTGTGTGTGATGTATCATTTATGGTATTTTGGTAAATTGTTATTGAATTTGCTGAAATATATAATAACCTATTAAAAGATATAACTTATGAGAGGGAAGAACACATTATTAATAACGAATATTCAATTCTATAATATCACGCAAGATATAAAATTATCGAAGATGACTATATATATAAATCATTGTTAGAATGAAACGAGCAGTTTTTATCGATATAAAATGAAAACGTTTCCGGAAAATATCGATTTCACAAATTTTCTGTGCAATATACATATTATTCAGCTTGAATTTAAGTCGTGAATGATAAAATGCTTTCGGTAGAAAACTATTTCGTACAGGATTTTGTGAAACTTTAATAAGAACGTTCTGAATAAATTCTGGAAAATTATTCAAACTCCAAATGTGCGAGTATAAGTCCGGCCACTGCAAGAAACGACTTTTCAACGAGCAAAAAAAAGAATTGAAACGACTTCGAGAAGTAATCCCTGTCCAGTTCCTATCGGCACGTAAATCGGGTTGGTCGTGATTGTCTTCTTAAAGTAGCGCTGCGAAAGAAACCAAGCGGATCGTAGAAGCATAAACATGGTGAGCGTAGTCAGCGTTCGAGTTACCCTGTTGGACCATGCCCCTCGTCCGCTCCCCTTCCACTCCCTCGATGAATTTGATTCTCTCCCATTGCGTTAACTCAGAATTGCTTCAAATATAGTAACTTGCGTGGAGAGAGAGAGAGAGAGAGAGAGAGAGAAGCGTTGCAACATCGATCAAAACAGCTCGTTTCACAATATCGATACGAAAAATGCTGCATCTATTTTACTTACCAAATTTACCGCAATCGCCATTTTTTCAATGATTTTTATTATTCTAAATTGAGTTGAATATTTCATAACGTGCATAACAATCACGTGCTGATATCACGTATTGATTATCTGAAAGAAGCACATATAGCTCTAAATAAAAAGTAAATATTGGTCGGGAAATGTTAGTGTCCATACAGCATTTATCTAACAGACGTCCCGTGGACGTCCTCTAGACGTCTTTAGGAACGTAGGAACATCCTTTAGACGTCTATAGGACGTCCCTCGGATGTACCGTATGGGTGATACGTCACATTTGGCAGAATTTGTTATAAAAACTTGCTATTAGCGCACTTACCGTTGAAACCGTTATGCAGAAACGCTGGAATAATGGCGGCTCAATTCGGCGTCGAATCGCCACCAACGATCGTCAATGAACCGGGCAATGATGTCTCTCACTCGAAACGGCGTATTCTGCATGTCAGCACGCAATTCTCAAATACGGAGCATAATGACGCGAGATTAACACGAAAAGGACGCGGGATAAAACGTAAACGGCGAGATGACGTGACGCGTGAGCGAGAGGTGTCGACCGCATCGCGAGAGTTTGTCAACTGCACGAAATTGTGACAAATTCGAATCGCAAATGGCGGCGAAACTTTCAAAAGTTCGAGCGCTCGTGGCGCCCCGCGAAATACCAATATTACCAATGACGCGACTCTCTCTTTTCACGGGTCCTGTTGCTCTTTTTTTATAGAATTTCAATAATCATTGCGTAAAATATGCAGCGAGCGTAAATATACATTACTCATACACGTACATGTCCATTTTGTGAGCAAACGCGATATTCGGGATTTGTTCTTTCTTATCTGTATTGCCTTATACTTTGGTCCGTATTCTGAATTCACTTTTATCGATGAAAGTACTTCTAAAGGTGACGTAGAACCACCCAATTGGCTGAGAAGCCACATTAAAGCACTTTCATTGGTAAAATTGAATTTGGAATATAGATTTTCTGTAGAATATATATATATATATATTTGAAATTTGATAAAGAAGGAAAAAAAATAGAATCGCTAGGAAGTCAAAAAGTGTAGTTACAACGAGCCAATCTTCAATATTTAATATTCGGGGGTAAAGTATGCGAATATACGCTTTATAATATAACCTCAATGCGAATGTGTCGAACTCTGATAAGAAATACAAGAAACTGCATCGAAAGCCCTGAGAACGTACCGCACGCGTTCTCCTCGCGTTCTTGGGATAACGCCAGTTTGATCATGTAGGTGTTACAGTTACCTGCCGTATGTACCGTCTATAAACGGCGCGATCAAATATTCGGCAAGCTACAAATACGCTCAGTATAAGTCACTCAATTACATCGACTGACTCTATTAATCCACATTTTTACACTTTATACAATTATACAATATGATATGTAACTTCTAATCTAATATTAAGTAACTAGTCAAAATTAGTTTCGATACTTTAATCAATAGTCATAACACGCTGATATCTAGAACATCATTGCAGTACAATCGTACCGAAATTCCTAAACTACAATCAATATGGGTTGCTTTTCAACAAAAAATGCAGAGAGACTCAAAATTGTTTCGTTGGCTACATATTATCTTAAAATAATCTTAAGATGATACCTATCCAATGAAGTAACTTTAAATCTCTCTGATGGTCTGTTCTTTTTACCTGAACTGGCCGCATTAGTTCAAGAAATCTACATATTTTTAATTTGCATTGAAACGTATGAAGCGTACGTATGAAATTTCACGTTTCAGTGTGCATGAATTTCTTGAATCGATACAACCAATTCAGCTAAAAAGAACAAATCAGATGAGTCTCTTTGCTAGGGTGCATTTAGAAATTCTACTCAACGAGTAGAATAACATTTATTAATCAATGATAAAAAAAATCTCTGCTCTTTCTATTTTAAATAGCTAATTAAATGTTACTTCAGCCGTTGAGTAGAATTTCTGAACGCACCTCTAGAAAGTAACTATAGAATATAGGAAGATGATATGACGACAAATAACGGGTGATTGAACGATAAAATTTTTATATAATAATCTGCTTTATCACACTCATCTTTATGACAATACGCGTCATATGAGAAGTAAAATATTAGCCTAATTCAAAAATTTCCTTGCGCTATATCACAGCCATTTCTTGGAGCCATCGTTGGTGACGCTAGTTTTGCTTGTTCAAAATTTTTATTGGCTATTTCTGAACTGCTACAGCACGTTGACGTTATATACCAATCACAGGCAAATACTGCTTTCCCTCCCCTACTTTCTTCTTTCTCTTTCCGGTTGTAAAACTATTGTTTTCTAAACCATTGGTATATTGCAGGAACAAGCCGATGTGTATACGTATACTAAAAGTAGCACGCGGATATAAACGAATGAACGTTATTGTTATGTGAAACGTTAGACCGTTCTCGTAGTTGTAAAATTGCATTTAGAGATAAATACCGTATATTTTTCACGATGTCGTACCAATTATACAGGAATACGACACTAGGAAATACACTGCAAGAAACTTTGGAAGAATTAATGCATGTAAGTACACAGTAATAATGACAACGCATAAGAGGTTAGATTCTCAAATATGAACAGTATGTATAAATGAATTTATGTACATTATAAGCCAATAAAATTAATGTGTTTTATGTTACAGTATGGACAAATAACACCACAGCTCGCGGTAAAAGTATTATTGCAATTTGATAAAGTTATTAATCAGGCTCTTGCAACAAGAGTTAAATCGAGACTTACATTTAAGGTAAGATCATTTTAGCAATATTTAATTAATCTTCTTTGGTCTTATTGCGACCAAAGAAAGAACATAAGTTAATTCATTATTGTTTTAGGCTGGTAAATTAAATACATATAGATTTTGTGATAATGTATGGACATTTATGTTAAATGATGTTGAATTTCGTGAAGTCCAAGAAGTTGCGATGGTAGACAAAGTAAAAATTGTTGCTTGTGATGGCAAATGTAAGTATTGATACTAACAAATATTTGGTTT